GGGCCTGGCCGCTATCCTTGAGCTCTTCAGCTCAAGGCAAGTTCTCTACCGCTTGAACCACAGCACTACTTCTGGCTTTTTCTGCTTATGTGGTGCTGAGGAATCAAACCCAGGGCCTCATGCATGCAAGGCAAGCACTCTACCACTGAGCCACCTTCCTAGCCCCTCACTTTGTGTTTAAAAGCTCTAGAAACTTCTTTTGAAATTTTAGTTTGGTATGTTTGGAAAAGAACAGAACTCTTATATACATATATGTATACATGTGTGTATCTATAAGTATGTATATATATGTATGTGTGTGTATTTTCTGCAAAAGTGAACCTATTTACAATTAAATTATCTGTCACTATTATTTATTGCACATAAACATACTATAGACTGATGTTCAACCATAATATTACAAATATTTTATGGTCCAGGAATCAAAATAGACACCTCAGCTATTAAAAAACACTAAATTTGAGCATTCTGGCACATCTATAGCCAGTTAGGGAAATCTGGCTAGGACGAGAAGCAGTCTCACACAGGTTGCTTTATTTACTCAGTACTTAGAGCCTTATGTACTGTTTTGGATTCCTGATTAAAAAAGCATAAATCATGTTTTAATAGGGAAATAAAATGGGAGCCAAGATTATCCAAAATGAATTCAGCAGCAAAGAAAAAAGAGACAAAATATACAGTTGAATATCATAATCTACACAAAAAATAGATGTGTTGTCATAAAAATGAATGAAGATAACCAAATGTTGGAGAGATATCATTGAATCAAAAAATGAAAGAAATTTAATGGCTAAGAAACACCTTGATTTACTTGTATACATAGTTAATGTCAAAAACATGAGGATTAGGAGTGAATGATTACATCTTAAATAGAGTTGATTAGAGGCAGAAAGTTTTTAGAAAAGAGCTATGCATTTATTTTAGCTATAGACTTAGCAAGTCAATAGATTTTAGGAACAGATTCTCCACGACTTTGATCATCCTGGCAGGGAGAAATAGCACATAAATTTAGGATCAGAAGCTCAAGGCAACTACTGAGGTCCTTATATCTTCTCAATGACCCTCATTCTTCCCTAGGCTGGCAACAGAATGTAGTTGTAGAATAGATAGATGACTCTTTTCTGTGACTTTATTATGGGCAGGATGCATTTATAATATGAATTCATTCTCTAAGGTGGTCCCAAAATGTTTCTTATGCCAGAAATACATTGAAGCTCAGGAGCTCTAACTCAACCTCACTGTATTATTTGGGGAGCTAGAAAAGGCTCCAACTAACTTGCGTGCCTCCCCATTTTCTTTCTTTTTTTGTGCTATTTTGTTATTGCGTTTTCAATGGAGAAATACATCATCTGTTTACAAAATAGCTCTTGAAAAATACAAGGAGTACAGATATTATAAAACAAAGCAAACTTCAGTCATGAGACAGTACATACATCATGCAAAAGCAACAGTCTGATCTCCAAGTTTTGAAAACTAGAATTAAAAAGTCACTACACAGAAAGGGTCCAAGTTTCCAACCTGACAAAACTTGGATGCAGTTACATGAAACACTTAATAAACTGAAATTTTTCCTCCTCAATGTATAAACAAAATGACAAGACTCAATCTGTGCCTGGTGATGTCAATCGAACTCTGAAGCTACACAAACAGACACCTTTACAATTCGCCTGTTAGCTGACCATCTTTTTTCTTAGGTGGTAAAGGAAAGGAAAGATGACTGTGCAGAGCAAAGATGTGGGAAGTAGAAATATCGCATACTAGACGTTATAAAGCCATGGTGAAAAGAAAGCCTCAATTAATGCATAGCCTAAGGGGGAAAGGACTACACTCCAACTTTTGGAAAATTAATTTAGAAGGATAGGAGAAGAGATTAAGCCACTGCAGGTGAACCTGAAAAATGCACATGTAAGAGAATGGAGCACAATGGAGGATTCACAAAACATGCTCATCAGAAAACTCTGATAGGTTTGCTTCCTCCAGGGTTATCAATATCCGGCATCCCTCATACTGCATAGAGATGGGTGAGAATTCTGCTGTTTATGATAAACTATTTTCTTTAAAGAGTTACTAAGCTGGTAGAACAAAGCAAACTAAAAAGTAGAGAGCTAACCAGATGTCAAGTGCTTGCTAGAAATGATTTTTAGAATGTTTTTGCATGTAAAATTTACTGACAAATTTCGTTAAGCCAGTTAAAGATAAAAATTGGTTTAAAAATCTTAGAGAAAATGTTTTTTTACCCATATGTTTAAAATGGAGAATCAATTTCTATAAGATAGGAATAGTAGTTCTGTGGAGTGTACAAAATTCCTCTTTAGAGCGCAAATGGCCATTCAAGATGTACCATGTTTCATGGATATTACTTTTTAGTCGTTCTACAAGATTCAGCCAAAGGATCACAATTTCGTGTTCCATGCCATGTAGCAACAGGATCATCTGTTTTATATCATGGCTTAAGAAAATACTGGCATTTTGGTTTTTGTGAAGTAAATCCTACCTTGTGCATACAAATGAACAAAAAAAAAGGAGAGAGAGAAGGAAGGCTCAAAAAATGTATTTGCTTCGGGGGGGGGTGGGGAGGAGGAGAACAAAAACATATTTGCTGGTTCATCGTTGATTTGTATGCACTATAAAACAACTATAATTATAACCAGTATCATTTCTGAATCATAACCCCATCAAAACCAGGTATTTCCAGAATGTTCTTCTTCTTTTTTTATTCTTGGGGGGTCCGGTCGTGGGGCCTGAACTCTGAGCCTGGGTGCTGTCCCTCAGCTCTTCAGCTCAAGGCTAGCGCTCTACCACTTGAGCCACAGCTCTACTTCCGGCTTTTTTTTTCCTGCTTATGTGGTGCTGAGGAATCGAACCCAGGGCCTCATGCATGCAAGGCAAGTGCTCTACCACTGAGCCACCTTCCCAGCCCAGATTGTTCTTTTAATGTCAAATGTATCCTCTAAAGTTGGCCTTTCAGTTGAAGGGTTATAGCTACCTCATTGTGACTGGATTAGATGTACTCTGTCCCTTCTTGGAAGTATAACAGGACACTACCTTACAGTAATGTCCAATTTGAAGATTAATTGTAAAGGAAATTCTTTGGGAAAAAATTAAAATCCATCAAGCTGAAAATTTAAAATTAGTTCTACTTCCTAAGAAAAAAATACATAAAAGTGCATCATTAGAATAAGGAACTTATATGCCAGTTTGTATTTGAGTTCCATTTAGTCTATGAGTTCAGACCAGGAAGGTCTAAACTTAATCCAAAATCAAAACAAAAACAAACCTCAAATCTGTCTCTTTTGCAAAAAAGCTAGACAACAATGAAGAGTAAGTTCTTTTGTTGGTTTGGATACATGGTGAAATACTTCTAGAATATTTGTCGATTTTCACTGGAAATGTGCACATTTAGATTGTCTTTTTTTTTTTTTTCTGGAATCCTAAAGACCTTCCGAAACTTCATGGATTCAACTGAAGCATAAATCCAGATCCTGAATATTGGTGACTCCTTGTTTCATATCACTTCCAATACACAGACAAATTCATGTGTTAGCTTCAAGCCTGCGTTAATCCTGTATAACTTTTCCTGGACTGACTTTCACTCTGCAGAACAATTGAGCTCTATTTATTGTTAATAAGCTTATTTTCTCATGTAACTAAAGATGATCAAGGAAAAAAAGAAAACTTAAATAAACACATAGCCAGGTTATAGTTATAATACTTATAATCCTAGCTATTCACAAGCCTGAGAGCTGAGGATTCAGGTTTAAAGATAGTCCAGGAAGACAAATCCAAAAGAAATCCAAAAGTCTCTTATTTTCAGTTACATATGAAAAAAGCTGGAAGTAGAGGGATGGCTGAAGTACAAGAGTACCAGTCTTAAGTGAAAAAGCTAAGACACTGCGCAAACAGTGAGTTTAAGCCCCAGTACCACCACAAAACAACAGCATCAACAAAAATCCTAGCCAAGTGTAAAAATGGTAAAAAGTAAAAGAGTTTCATTTGGGCCGGAAATAGACAAAATGAGAAATATTTGTAAGTTTAAGATATTTTCAGTACTGTAAGTTTAGTTTGATATAATATAGTGTTTGGAGTATCATACTAACAACCCTAAATCGAATGACATAAAAAGTAGGTTCACCCAAGTTGTTATCTAGACTAGCATTTAGGAAAATCAGGCATCTCTCTTCTGTGGTCTCAGATAGGAACCAGGATTCTCAAGCTGGTGTTTCTAGGGGGCAAGACTTCCTGTTGCACCATTTGGCAGGATCTGGCAGAAGACAAGGTATAAAAACAAATATGTGGGATATGAGTTTCAGTCTGAAAGTAACATGCAGTATTTCTGCTCATCTCCAGTCATATGACCAAACCTAATTGCAAGGGCGGCATAGAAATTTCTTGTATGATCAGGGGTAAGGAGGGAATAGAATTTGGCAGACAGCAAACAGAATTTGCCACATTCATGGTCCTGGTTTTTTAACTTCCTTATTTTTCCAACATCATTTTATGTTCAGTCAGGATTTCTATGATAGCATTTCAGGGAATTATGAAAAGTACTTTTTAACTCTTCAAAATCATTATTGAAGGAGATTCACATTGTTTCCTGCAGCCTTAAAAATCTTTGAAAGAGAGCTGGGCGTCAGTGGCTCACTCCTGTAATCCTAGCTACTGAGGAGGCTGAGATCTGAGGATCCCTGTTCAAAGCCAGCCCGGGCAATAAAGTCTGTGAGACTCCTATCTCCAATAAACCACCAGAAAACCGGAAGTGGCGCTGTGGCTCAAGTGGTAGAGGGCTCGCCTTGAGCTGAAGAGCTGAGGGACAGCGCCCAGGCCCAGAGTTCAGGCCCCACGACCTACACAAAAAAAAAATCTTTAAAAGATAATTTGAAACTGTAACTTGGTCAATATAAGAAATCACAAGGGGTCTCCGGAAGTCCTAGTCACTTGGCCGTGAAAGCGTAACAAATGCTTCCCAGGGCGCCGACCTGGGGGGGGGGGGGGGTGTCACAAGTCATGTGACAGCAGCCTGCGGGGAATTCGCCTTGACTTCCAGTACGCTGGGGATATTCCCGTGGCCCAGACCCCCAGGCTTGCAAGATTGATCCTGCGAGGGAAAGGGGTTCGTCATGGCAGATGACCTAAAGCGATTCCTGTATAAGAAGTTACCAAGTGTTGAAGGACTCCAGGCTATTGTTGTGTCGGATAGAGATGGAGTACCTGTTATCAAAGTGGCCAATGATAATGCTCCCGAACATGCTTTGCGACCTGGTTTCCTCTCTACTTTTGCCCTTGCAACAGATCAACTTTCAAAGAATAAAAGCATCATCTGTTACTATAACACCTACCAGGTAGTTCAGTTCAATCGTTTACCTCTTGTGGTGAGTTTCACAGCCAGTAGCAATGCCAACACAGGGCTAATTGTCAGCCTACAAAAGGAACTTGCTCCATTGTTTGAAGAACTGATCAAAGTTGTGGAAGTTTCTTAATCTTATGATGGTTTTGATGTATACCTTATCTTGTTATAAAAACACAAGTCATTCTAGCAATCTTTAGACAACAGTAATACTTTTCTCTGTATGTATGTAAGAAAGAACCCCTTTATCCACCTTATACTAAAGAATCAGCTTGTAGGTGTAATTTATAGACAGATCAGGTGTTACATTTACTTTGTAAGGTCTTTTCTTTAGCAAGATCTGGGGAGAATGGGGATAATCTGAACTGGTTCAGTCTGTCACTGCTTCTGTGGAGTTAGTGCAGTTGCCACATACAGATGGGATCCTGTTCAGTGGATCAGAATCAAAATGGTGCATTGGTCCACATGAGCCAGCAAGTGCTCTCTATCATTCAGGACTCCCAGACTGCAAGGGCACAGCAGACCCTCTTATTGTGAATAATAACAAGGACATATTTTTCTTCTGTTGTGTTTTATTTACACTGAGTGTGAGAAGATAAATTGGCTTAGTAAAAGTAATAAAATCAGTACAATCACTAACTTTATATATATTTACTTTGCAGTGTAGATATGTGACACTAATGAGTTTTTTCAGAGGGTGCTTCTCTTTAATGAAAAGGAAAATTATAGCTTACTCTTTTCTTCCTACTCTGCTCTCTATAACCAATCAGTGTTTTAATGAATGTTCTTTATAGAATTTAAATATGACTTGTTACTGAATCCTGTTTTCAGTATGTATATAAATGTGATAGTTTTAGCCATTTTTTCATACATGGGTATAAATAAAATAGTATTTTTAAAAATAAAAAAAAAGAAATCACAAGGGAAAGTTAATAACATGCCCTTGATAAAATGACACATGACCCTGTGGTGTGAACATTCTCTTATTTTAGTCTCTATAATGTATTTTTTAAAAAATTGTGCAGGAAATGTTTCTAAACATCGTAAGATAATATTCTTAAAATCATTTATCCTGATAACAGTGAAGACGTGGGCCAGGCCACACAACTTTCTTGGACCCATTTGTGTTTCTCTTTAACTACTTTAAAGTGGAAAACCCATGTGTTTGGATTGTTGAGGTTGAAAACTGAGTAAAATCATTTCTCCAAAATAGACTTAATAGCAGGGCTGAGAATAGTTTCCTGACCTGTTCTAGGGAGAGTCAGACACAGAAAAACATGGTGTATGAGTTTTCATATCCATTAGCCAAAAAAAAAAAAGGGAGCCAGATTTAGGTTATATTTTAAAAGACAATTGTAGCAAAACTATTACAGTTTTTGTTTTCAACAATAATAAGATCTGTACTTATTCAGTGTACTTATAATATTTTAATAGGGATTTTCACAATTGATTCACCATTTAATAATTCAGTCAAGTCATTCAGTTTGGGTTACCTAAATTTTTTTTTAATCTAGATATATAATACCTAGGATATGATTGAGACTCACAGTTTAAAACCCATCTGTCAGGAAACAATCCATGTATGATGTAAGGAAGGCTCTGTCAGGCATGGTGTTAATGGTTCATGCCTGTAATCCTAGCTTCTCAGGAGGGTGAGATCTCAGGATAGTGGTTCAAAGCCAGCCCAGGTAGAAAAGTACATGAGATTCTCACCTTCAATAAACTACTTACAAAAGGCTGGAAGTGGTGGCATGACTCAAGTGATAGAGTGCTAGCCTTGAGCAGAAGAAGTTTGGGGACAGCATCCAGGCCTGAGTTCAAGCCCCAGGTCACACCAAAAAAAAAAACAAAAAAAAATTTACTGTGTAAATGACACTGAGCTGATAACTGGTGATTGATCCTTCCAAGTAGAGAGAACTGCAGATCCAAAGGCCATTAAGGAAAAGCTTGGGCACATGCTCACAGAACAAAGGCTATGAAGCTGCTGAAGTTGAGTGAGCATGAAGGAGAGAGGGAAGGTGCAAGGAATGGCTGCAGGACCTCAGGTCACTGAGGGCCCCCAAGCCACTGTAAAGACAGAGTATTTCCACTGAGTAAAATCAGCTGCCAGTTGCAGTTGCTCACATCTGTAATCCTAGCTACTCGGGAGTCTGAGATCTGAAAATCTTCAAAGTCAGCCTGGGCAGATAAATCTGAAAGGTTCTTATTTCCAGTTACATAGCAAAACATGAAAGTGCTCAATTGGTAGGGTGCCAGCCTTGAGCAAAAGACCTAAGCGAGCATATGAGGCCATGAATTCAAGCCCCAGTATACTCTGTCTCTGTCTCTGTCTCTGTCTCTGTCTCTCTCTCTCTCTCTCACACACACACACACACACATTGGTGAGTTATTAACAGGCTTTTGTGGGAGTCTGATGTTCACTTTAAGAAGGTCATTCTGTATGCAGAATGATAAAGAATAAAGGAATGGTGGAGCATACAATTAAAATATTCTGATGTAAGCATATTTGAACAATTTTAGTTGCTCTAGCACAGAAAAAAATAAATATGTACAGAAATATTCTCCACCTCCACTTAGTTAACAAGATACTGTTCATCTTAGCTGGTTAGAGGAAAACTGTGTTTTGGAAATGCAATCCCTTATAAGTTCTCTGAGGAAAAGATAGCACCCAGTACAAGCAGCAAAACTGCCCAGTCGAGTGGAGTTGCTTTTGGTCTCAGGGCCAGTCCAGCCTGCAGAATAGGGATCATTAGAAATTCTCTCCATGCTCTTGGTTGAAATCAATCAATAATAACAAGAAGCAAGGGAAGAAACACATGCTTATTTCATTCTCAATGGCTGTGAGGCCTTGGAAACCATCAGCTATAGCAGGGTCTTTCAACACTTGAAGAAATAGAACCTTTCCGCTGTCCATTATCGGCATATAGCCTGGTTATACATGGATATAGTTATGACTTGAATGGTTGGTTACTTCTATATGTGCACTACAGCCTTTGCTTCTCAAGCCTAAGTCCTATAGCCTGTGTTAGGCCTATTTGAGAGCCTTAATTTTTTATTATAGGGAAAAAACACAGTTAAATACTCAGTATGTTAATGTACCTATAGGCACAACGTACTTTAGATCTCCAGAATTTATCTTGTTTCATATATTAAACTCAATGCTCACTGACAAACCCTGAGACTCTGAGGCCCTGACAAAAATAATGTGAAATTTATCCTTCAGTGACTGACCTATTTGTTTGGCATATGATCTTCAAGGTTCACTTATGTTTAGCATAAAACAGAATTTTCCTTTTGTTTAGAGGTAAATAATTTTTCATTTTATGTCTATGCTACATTTTCTTTATCTGTTCATGTGTATGGATAGACATAGGCTTTTACACATACACACGCACACACACACACACTCCTTTTGTGTGTGGGGAATTAGTCCTGAGGCTTGAACTCAGGGTCTGGATACTGTCCCTGTGCTTTTGTGCTCAAAGCTAGTTCTCTAGCACTTGAGCCACAGCTCTACTTCCAGATTTTTTTGGTAGTTCATTGGAGATAATAATCTCATGGACTTTCTGTGCAAGCTTGCTTAGAATCTTGATCCTCAGATGTCAGCCTCCTGAGTAGCTAGAATTACAGATGTGAGCTACCAGCACCCATCAAAACCCACACCTTAAAAAAACAAAGACAAAAAACAACTGGCCTTTAGGCTGGGCCCTGATGGGTCATGCCTATAATCCTAGCTACTCAGAAGACTGAGATGTAAGGATGGAAATCAAAGCCAACCTAAGTAAAAACATCTCTGAGACTCTTATTTCCAATCAACAAAAAAAATGCTGGATGTGGAGTTGTGGTTCAAGTTGTAGAGCACCAGCCTGCAGATAAAAAAAGTCAGTGAGAACATGAGGCCCTAAGTTCAAGCCTCAGTACTAACACACACACACACACACACACACACACACACACACACACACGCCCTATATGAACTTTAACCATATTATTTGGTGAAAACCTGCCTAGCAAGTGCAGTTTATTCCCTCTGGTTTCCAGGACAGTGGTCACACTGGTCCCATTAATTTCATCTTGAGTTTCTTTACTATCAAGTGTTAGTTGAAGGTGTCACTGACAAGCCAAAAACAGCTGTTGTATATTTTTTTCAGAGATCACCTGATATTCCTGCTCTTGAAGGCCCCTCTCTGTACAAACATGCTCATCCTGCAAACTGACACCACAATCATTTAACTGTGTCATCTAGTAAAGTAGCTCAATATCCTTTCAGGGTTTCCTATTTCAAATTTGTTACACGATTTTTGATTGAGAAAAATGATCATCTGTGCTTATCACTGTACGATGCCATGTTCTTTCTGCATTCTCATATCTATAATCAGAGCAAAGTAAACATGAAGTTTGTGACTTATGAAAAGTCACAAATTGATTCCATAGAAGCTATTTAGCATGTAGAAAAAATTTTGAATGGAGACTTATCACTGTCCTTAATTAGAAACAAGTTTTATAATCTTATGGTATTGATAACAATCAGTAGCATATTTAGTCATAAAGAGAAAAAAATTCTTTGATAGTTCAGAGGTTTAGATTCTGGGCCTCTCACTTACAAAGAAGAAATTCTATCACTTGAGCCACACCTCAGCTTCATTATTTTTCAGATAGGGATTTCTGGTTTTGCCTGGGATTGGCCCCCATCAATTATTTTATCTATGGCCTCCTGCTTGCATGGAACCATAGACAAACTTCAGCACACTTAGCTTGATTGAGATGTAGTCTCACTAATTTTTTTGGGAGGGGGGAGTCCGGTTGTGGGGCCTGAACTCTGGGCCTGAGCGCTGTCCCTCAACTCTTCAGCTCAAGGCTAGTGGTCTACCACTTGAGCCACAGTGCCACTTCCAGCTTTTTTCTTATGTGGTGCTGAGGAATCGAACCCAGGGCTTCAGGCATGCAAGGCAAGCACTCTACCCCTGAGCCAACTTCCCAGCCCCAGTCTCACTAATTTTTGCCCTTGCAAACCTCAAACTGTAGTCCTTCTGATCTCCACCCGCCAAGTAGTTGGGAATACTGGCATGAAGTCACCAAAATTGGCACAAGAAATTAAAAAAAAAGAAAAGAAAACAAAGAAATATTCTACTATAAGTGGGTTGCAGGTGGCAACCTGCAATCATAGCTATTGAGGAGGCTGGGATCTAAGGATTGTGGTTTGAAGCCAGCCGAGGCAGAAAAGTCCGTAAGAATCTTATCTCCAAGCCGGGCACTGGTGGCTCACGCCTGTAATCCTAGCTACCCAGGGGGCTGAGATCTGAGGATCGAGGTTCAAAGCCAGCCCAGGCAGGAAAGTCCATGAAACTCTTATCTCCAATAAATCACCAGAAAAAAAAAAGAAGAAAAGAATCTTATCTTCAATTAACTAGCAAACAGTTGGAAGTGAAGGTGTGGCTTAAATGGTAGAGCACTAGCCTTGAACAACAACAACAAAAAAGTGATAATTAGAGCTCCTAAGTTAAAGCCCCAGGATGTATATACACAGAAATATCAAAACGTAGTTATATTTCCATTAAGCTTGTGGGTCCTCATTCCCTCTCCTTTGTGACCAAAGTATCCACAAGAATTCCATATGAAAGCAATAGTAGTGTCTGATAGACAGAGGAGAGTTGGATTAGGATGGTAAACCGTGTAATATGTGTTAGGGTTCTTAAAGTACATCTACTATCCAGAGACTGGGGTCTAAAGGACTGTTTCTACCCATTCTATTCCTCTTGAGCCCCACCCAAGTTGTGGGAGAACTTCAGGCCTTCCACATTTCCTATAAGGAAATTGTTCTTTCTTCTTGGTAAATACTATCTACTGAAAAATCAGTGAAGTCTCCACCCTCTCCCGGATGTTGCCACACTGGGATCTGGG